GTTTCTGCTACCTGCACACCCCCCCAGCAGTAAACCCCGCAGAAACACAGAAAAGGGGCGGGGAGGGGACACCAGGCGAACCTTCTGTTTCTTGATCTGGGTGCTGGTTGCACAAGTGTGTTCGTTATTTGAGAATCTGTTGGGCTGCTCATTGAACGTAGCTGCATTTTTCTGTGTGTTTTGCGCTTCAGTACAGAGCTTGCTTTATTTATTTATTTAGTCGGGGGAGATAATTAGCTTTACTTGTTTATTTATTCTTGGAGGAGGTGCTGGGGATTGAACCCAGGACCTCATGTGTACTAAGCATGAGCTCTACCACTGAGCTATGCCCTCCCGCACTAGAGTTTTTAAACGTTGTATCAGTGGTGATGGTTGCACAACACTGTGAACGTTCGGAATGTCACTGCATCCTTTACTTAAAAATGGCTACAACCCAAATTTCCTATGTATATTTTACCACAACAAAAGGCAAGCAAAATTTGTAGGATGACAAAAAACATACTATATCAGACAAATGCTAACAAAAAAAGAGCAGATGTAGTAGTATTAATGAAAGACAAAAAGACTTCAAGGCAGAAAGCATTGAAAGAGACCCCCCCCAAAAAACACCCCACTCTTTCATTTGCAGCCATCACAGAGATACGCTGGGTGTGGAAGCTGTTTCTGTAACTTCGGTTGCAAAGACCAGACAACACATTGTGGGCAGCCCAGGCAGAATTTGTGTGTCTCAAGCAGGAGGATCGGAGTCCAGGATAGATCCAGCTGTCGGAGGAGCTCATCAGAGATAACAGAATCTGGCATCAGGTGGCCTCTGGCTTTTGTCCTCATGGTTGCAAGATGGCTGCTGTGCCTCCAGGTATGTCCTGCCTCAAGAAATGAAGGGGGAAGGGCCAAGGGGTAAATCCTAAGCCCTATCTGCACACAGCTGCTCCTTCGTTTTTAGGAAGAGAATTCCTCAGAGGTTTCTGTCTGCGTCTCCCTGGCCAGGACTAGGTCACATCACACCCTTTGTCTTCCAGGGAAACCAGGAATCTGGGGGTGACTTAAAGAGCCTGGGGGCTGCAATCATCTGGAAACACTTCAGCTCCCACGTCTGGTGGTTGATGCCTGTGGACCTCAGCTGGGCTCGTGGTGACTACCTGTGGTCTCTCCGCGTGGCCTGGGCTTCCTCACAGTGTGGCGGCCTCAGGCCATCAGATTCCCTGCGTCGCAGCTGGGGGCTCCAGAGGCTGCCATCCCGAGAGACGCGGAGAGAAGCAGCGAGGCTCTGCTGGATGAGCCGAGGCTGTGGCCAGAGGCAGCCCTGATTCGAAGGGGCGTCAGAGAACTGGTAAGCGTGTCTGTTGTTTTCTTTCACACCACCACATGTCCAACCGTCAGTCACTGCACAAGAGTGGAAATTCCAGGAGGTGAGAGTCTGACTGCTGGGCTGGTGTCCACGTGCAGGAGGATCCTCAGGAGAGTTCATTCAAAATATGTTTAAAATTTGGTCTGTGAATCTGGGGTGAGGGCCAGAAAGCTCACACAGTGCGCTCCTTCTGTGCTTCTGATGTGGGTTCCCAGAGGAGCGACGCTTTCCAGCGCGGGCATGGTCGGCATGGCCACGTCAGCCCTCAGGCGGTGCTGGGCGGACGAGTGACCGAGGGGAGGACCCCCGAGCCTGGCGAGGTGGGGCGGGTTGCTGAGTGGGTGTGAAGAGCACAGAGCAGCCCTGGGGGTCCGTGGCGGGGGCACACGGAGGCGGGGACAGAGGGGCGTTGGTCCCTGGCTACAGGCCTTGCCTGTGAGCTGCGGGCTGGCTTTCTGTGCCCAGCTTTAGCCCAGTGCCTGCTCACAGCACTTTCTCAAGTAGCACGAGTGGACTGGAGTGGTGGCCTGTGGCCTGGGGGAGGGGGAGGACTTCAGAAGACATTTCTCTGCTGACCCTGGAGATCTTGTGCGTCTCAGTCTGAACGAGAATCAGAATCAACTTGGGAACTTGCTGATACACAGAGTCCAGACCATGGAAGACTCCAGTTTAGAGGCTCTGGAGGACAGGGGATCTGGCCTTTTTTTCCTAAATATTTTAAATTTTGTTTAAGAGTATGCAAATGTATGGAATAAATACAGCAACATACATTTAGCAATTATACAAAATCACGTTATATATCATATTAAATTACATAGAAACGTTTTATATACAAACCAAAAAAAACAGAATGTTTTTGTTAAGCTTTTTATTTCAAAATAATTCTAGACTCATACGTAGTTGTCAGAAATAACAGAGAGGGCTAACGCACCCTTCACCCAGTTTCCTCCCATGGTTAACATCTTGCAAAATCACACTACAATATCACAACCAGGATTTTGGCATCGATACAGTCAAGATCCAGAACATTCCATCACCACAAGGATGCCCGCAGTTGCCTTTTTATGGCAACTCCCCCTGCCCGCTCCCCCCACCTTAGCCCCCTGCCCCCACCATCCTCTCCTCTGTTTCTGCAGTTTTGTCCTTTTCACGGATCCTATATAAATGGGCCCTACAGCATGTGACCTTTGGGACCGGCTTCTTTCACTGAGCACAATTTCCTGGAGGTTCATCGTGCTCACGGCAGCTCTTCCTCTTCCTCTTTGGTGTGGACGGATTCGTTTGTTCAACCATCAATCATCAATCAACCCCTGGAAGGTCATTTGGGTTGTTCCCCATCTTTAGCCTTACAAATAAAGCTGCTCAGCTGCAGGATTCTGTGTGTGAACCTGTCTTTATACATATTTTGTTTTCAAATTGAAGCACAGTCAGTTCACAGTGTTGTGCCAATTTCTGGTGCACAGCACTGTGCTTCGGTCATGCAGGAACACACATACGTTTGTCTGCATACTCTTTTTCACCGTAAGTTACTACAAGATGAACCGAAGTCTTTATTTCTCTGGGATAAAGGCCGAGGAAGTACAACTGCAGGGCTTGAGGTAGTTGCATGTTTAGTTTTTAAAGAAGCAGCCAGACCGTTTTCCAGGAGGGCTGAACGCATCACTTTCCTACTACCAGTAACGCACGTGTGACACGGTTTCCCCACAGCCTCACCAGCATTTACTTTTGTGGCTGTTTTTCATTTTAGTCGTCCTGATAGGTGGGCTCCCACGTCTCCCTGGGGTTTTAATTTGCATCCCTGATGGACCCAACATGGATCTCCTCCTCCTGTGCGCAGCCCCGGCCGTCTGTGTGGCCTCTTCACGGGACGCCTGCTCATGTCTTCTACTCATTTTCTAATTTAATTGTTTGCTTTTTTTTTTTTTTTTTTTTACTGTTGAGCTCTAAGAATTCTTTGCATAGTTTAGATCCTAGTCCTTGGTTGGATCTGCGGCCGACAGACCTCTCCCCCCCTTACCCTGTCTGCTGCTTATCTTTTCATCCTGTGAGCGGGGTGGGTTTGCGGTTTGTTTTCTTTAACTTTTTGCTTCTGAATAATTTCCAAGGTACAGACATTGTTAGAATAGGACAAAGAGCTCCTGGGTTCTGCTCGCCCAGATTCCCTAAGTAGTAACATGTTACTATGTTTTCTGATGCTACTTTTTGTTTTTAATTTTTGGAGCCATTTGAGAGCAAGTTACAGACAGAGTGCCCGTTATCCGTAAACCCTGGCCTGTGTATTTCCTGAAAGAAGCACCCATGTAACGATCAAAATCAGGATGTTGGTGTAGGGAGGCGATATCCTTCACTCACAGACCCAGCAGAGTTTCTCACAGATTGCCCCAACAATGCCTTGTCCAGGTCCAGAAGCCAATCCGGGATCACATAGTGGACTGTTGTCATGTTTCCTTAGTCTACTTAGTTTTGGAATCCAAGTCTTTCTTTGTGGCTTTCTTGCTTAGGCTCAAGAAAGCTTTCGTTCCATGCTTTGGTCTGATGGTCGCAGTCAGCACCTCAGAATTCAGGGAGGAAGGCAGAGCCAGCAAAACCTGTGTGGCAGGTGGGGAAACTGAGGCTGGAAAGTGGAGGGCTCCCTCAAGATGGTACAGCTAGCCAACAGTGGGGTTTCCAGGTCCCAAGACCACGTAGACCCTGAACTGGGACCCTGAATGTCACTGTCCACTAAGAAGGCAGTCCAGGTGGTAGGAAGACAAGAAGATCACTTTTGAAAAATCTAGTTTCAAGTGTGATCCAAAAAAAAAAAAGTTTAAGATTGGTCTTTCTTTATATTTCATGACCATGATGTTTTGGAAGTGAGTTTGAACGACATCCCTTGGGTTGGGCTGGTTTCTAGATCCCGCGTCTGCACTTTTGGCAGGACCGTTTCAGAAGTGATGCTGTGCGCTTCTCCATGCGAGCTGCCTGGAGGTGCACGGCGTCTGCTTTCCCGTGCTGGTGGTAGCGATGTTCACCCCACAGGTAAGGTCACTTCTGCCAGGTGTCTCCACTGTAAAGCTGATTAACGAGCGCCTGGACCCACTGGTGAGTGAGGGATAATAGTGAGCGCTCGGCACGGAGGCATGTGGAGTCTGAGGAAATCTCCTGTTTCCCATCAGCCTTTCACCGGCAGTTTGAGCCTCTGTCGTTGATTCTCCCTAAATCAATTATTAACGTGCTGATTGGCAAATGGAAGTTTGCTAATTCCATTATTCCTTCCGCATTTAAGAGCCATCTTTCTCTCCCATTTATGGATTCATCCATTTATTTATATCATGACTTATTTATATCATAAAGAAAGATAACAGTCCATTACCATCTTTATTCTGTTGCAGAAGTTGCTCTGGATTTGGGCGGTGGGAGCCCCTTCACGCTGCTTCCTGCCGTTTGACACCCCCCCCCCCCCCCCCCCCCCCCCCCGTCAGTCTCTGCGTGCTTCCTCACCTCCTGCCGACCTGAGGCATTCCATTTGGAGCATTCCTGCTCCAGCCCTGGAATCAGCCATTTCTCCAAAAGCTCTCTTCCTCCCAGTGGAGAATGGAATTTAGATACCAAGATCTGGGCACTAGGTGTGCTCATTGCTGCAGTCACTTTGTTGTTTCTGGGCCCTTTTGGCAGACAGAGCTAAGAAACACACACACACACCTACATCTATTTCTAGATTAAAAAACATGAGTTCACAGGGGTGGGTGTAGCTCAAGTGGTAGAGCACATGCTTAGCATGCACAAGGTCCTGGGTTCAATCCCCAGTACCTCGTCTATAAATGAATAAATAAACTTAATAAAATATCAAAAAAAAAGAAATTAAAAAAAATGAGTTCACTCCAATACCGCAATTGCAGCTCAGCTCCACAGAACTGATTCAAGGCTTCGTCCTTTCCATATTGGACACTCTCTTCCTCAAAGGTGAGAAGCCTGACCTCTGATCTTCAAGACACCAGCTGCTTGACTGCCCTGCCCAACCACATGCCTGACTAGCCTGTTTCCTTGGCCCCAAATAAAAGGAGTGGAGAAGAAAAAAGAAGACAAGAGCAAAGCAGAAGGGAGTGCATTGCTTTTTGACACCTGCTGTAACAAATTACTGCAAACTGGGTGGTTTAGGACCACAGGAATCTAGTCTCTCCCAGTCTGGAGGCCAGAAGTCCAGAATCGAGACATCAGCAGAGATGGTCCCTTCTGGAGGCTGCGAAGGAGAGGCTATTTCATGCCTTTTCCGGCCCTGGTGGCTGCTGACGCCCTTGGCCCCTCGGCTTGTGGCCGCCTCACTCCGGTCTCTGCTCCATCACCACGGGGCTTCTCCCCTCTGTGTGTCTGTCTGCAAAATTTCTTCTTCCCGTAAGGACACCAGTCATTGGATTAGGGCCCTGGTTTATAACGCTAACTTCCTGCTCTGGTTCAGTTGCCAGCGTAACCACAGGCGGGTTAATTAATCTTAACTCGATCACATCTGCAAAGTCTCTATTTCCAAACAAGTTCCTGTTCACAGGTGTGGGGCGTTAGGACCCGGACAAGGCAGCCCACAGCAGGGTGGAAGCTGCGTTTGTGACAAGCCCAGGGGCTCACTGCTGCACGGTCTCCCAGGACCCCTGGGCTTGGTGTCCCAAGTCAGTGGGAGGAGGCCCCGAAACCAGGGGACAGAGGGGGCGGCCTCGGGGCAGGGCTGTGTGAGGAGCAAGGGGACCACGGGCAGCGGCCACCCCGAGCGCTGGAGACAAGTGGGGTGGGCTGTGGGCACGGCGGGCAGGGCGTGGAGCCCCTTCCAGGACAACGTCCATCACTCTATCTATAGCTGAGGGTCAGTGCTGACTTGGGGACCCTCCACACCACAGCAGCCTTGAGCCCCAAACCCCAGGCGGGAAGCTCTGTCTTGGTTCTTCCAGCCTCAGCTTGCAGAGGCCTGAGGTCCGGGGTCTGGACAGGCTGGCACAGGCCAGAGAGGTTCTTCCTGGACTAGGGGAATGGTGGGCACCGTGCTGGCCCAGGGGACTGGCAGGTTCCCTCACACCTGGCTCTGCCCCCAGATGTGACAGCTGAGCATCGTGGGCCAAGAGCCAGACCCTCCCCAGCTCAGATCCCCACCTATACATGAGGACTGGACCTCAGGTCCCCCACTTGGATGGCTGACGTGTCCCCCTCCCTTTGCCATTCAGGCTCTGTCATGCCATCAGGGCCATGCTGAAGCCCATCCCGAGGTGTCCCTAAAACCCTAGAACTTACAAGACAGCCCAGCCCGATGAGCGCATTCTCCGAGCGGAAAGATGGCGGTTGCTCAGGCCTGTTAGGGGCCGCATATCTGGAGGTCAGGCAGGAGTGTTCCCCAAAGGGCCAGCCCCTGGCGAGAGTGTGGGTTCCGGAACTTGCTCTCACATGCGGGCTGGGCAGTGAATATGTCCAGGTGTTAGCAGCCTCTGGAGTTCAGGAAGGAGGTCAGATGACACTGAGGCACTGGGCGGGGCTTGGAGGCTCTCCCCAGAGAGATGGGGAAACGGAGGCCCAGAGAGCGAGAGCGATCACTGCCAGTAGGGGCACTGGGACCAGCCCCAGGCCCCGCCCCCTGCACGGTTGTCCGGGCCGGACTGGGAAGGGCTGGGGCTCTCCTCTCCTCACCCCTGGTGCTTCGAGACGCCTGCCCTCTGTGCTCACGGGTTCATTTGTTTGATGACTTCATCATAACTTGAAAGACCCTAGTTTATAACACTAACTTCCTGTTCCAGTTCAGTTGCCAATGTAACCACAGGCAGGTTAATTGCATGTCCGTCCATCATCCTGCCTGGGGAGGTGGCAAGCGGGAGCGCCCGTCCCCACCACATGGCCCTGAGCTCTCGCGTGGGCCCCAGGCTTGGCGGTTCAGCTGGGTCCGATCCCTGGCCACGTCCACACACCAGAGACCCACAGCTCATACCCCCACCCCCACCCCCATGCTCAGAGACCCCCGGGCTCCAAACCTTCCTAGGAAATGGCCAGGTACCCTCCATGCTTGCTGGAGAGACTGAGAATTGGGACCACCTTCTGAGAGTCATTTAGCGATATTTGTCCCCAAAACCTGAGTGCTCTTAACTAGCGAATCTGCTTCCAGAGATTTTCCCACCGGGAGCCCCGAAGAGGACAGGACATTCACGGCCCCTAAGGCTGGACTGGGGCTGAGTGCCCGGCGGGGAGGGCAGGTTAACAGTGCGTGGGTGACGGCCCGCGGGGTGCTCCGATTCGTGAGCACAGGCCACTCTCCCTGCACACGCGCCGACGCCATCACGGGGGGACGGCCGAGTGCCGGGAGTATCCATTCACTTTATCATCTCTTCTGCCTTTTGAATTTTTTCTTAAAGTATCATATTATTTTCCCAGGACTTCCACTACAAACTTTCACAAACTTGGTGACTTTAAGCAACAGGAATTCATCTCCTCCCAGCGCTGGAGGCCGGAAGGCTGAGATCAAGGTGTCGGCCAGAAAATGCTCCCCCTGAAGTCCTCAGGGGAAGAATCTTTCCTGCCTCTTCCAGCTCCTGGTGGCCCAGGCACCCCTTGGCTTGTGGTCACATCACCCCAACTCTGCCTTCTCCTCACGTGGCCTCCCTGCATGTCTGGGTCTCAAATCTCCTTCTGCCTTTCTCTCATTAGAAGGATGATAACTGTCATGGGATTTGGAACCTAACCTAAGCCCAGGATGACCTCATGTGGTAATAGGATGCAAATGAGAACCAGAAGGGACCGACCAGGGGACTGGAGAATGTGGGTGCATAGCCACGGGAGGGGGACTGGCCCTTGGCACCCGGGCACCTGAACACCAGATACGTGGGCACCTGGGTGCCCTGGCTGCCCTTCCAGGGCCCCTTTCCTCCGGCCCAGGCCACCCTGGCTGGCCCGCAGGTCACATGAGGAGGTCACACAGCCTCGGGGCCAGAGGGTGCCTCGTTTGGGATCAGGCAGCCCCCGGGTCTGTCTGCCACACGGAGTGGGGGCCGGGTAACCTCTGCTTCTCGCCTGCAGGTGGGCAGAGGCCCTTTTCCACGAGGGCCCTGGTGGCTGCCCGCGAGGTGGAGTCAGTCCTGTGTCAGACTTTGCCCAAGACAGCCTGGGGAGGAACGAGCAGACAGCCTGTCCAGCCCTATGGGACCCCCAGCTCTGCCGGTGGCTGGCCCGTGGACCTGCCGCCTGACCTACAAAGGTGTGGAGCCTGAGGGGGCTGGGAGAGAGGGGCAACCCAGGGTCCCAGCCCTGACCCAGCTTCAGGCACAAAGCTCTGTCAGTGGGCTGGGGGCGATGGATCAAAGTGTGCTGGGGTGGGTGGAGAGGCCAGGGCTGTAGGCCCAGGGACAGCTCTCCACCCCCAGGCTGAGCAGGCAGCCTCAGGTAGGGTAAGATCCAAGGGTCTGAGCTCAGCCCTCCTCTTGGTTGACTCAGGGGATGATGCTGGCCTGGCGGGACCTCCCTTCTCCAGGCTTCCAGGACCCACTCTGGCCTGGCGGCTCTCCTGCCTCTCCGGTCCCCCCGCACCCTTGCACTGACCTCATCCACGCCTCTGCTTTCTGTTCCAGTGACGCCTGGACTCCGGGGTCCAGGTCTGCAAGCCGGCAGGTGGCTCTTACGTGCCCCAGACTGACCCAGCTGCCTGACAAGCCCCACTATGCTGAGCAGACAGATACCCCGGCCCCTGAGCCTCCCTGGAGCCCGCTGGTACTTGGCGCCTCATCTCAGTAAAGGGCCCCCCCATCGCCGCAGGCTGAGGCCCAAGACTGCTGTCATCCTTGACTCTGCTCCTCCCACCCACAGCAAATCCCCGCGGCTCTGAGCTTCAAAATTCATCCAAAGTCCAGCTCTGGCCCTCCCCCTGCTCTGTGCCTTCCCTGGGCCGAGCACCACATCTCTTCCCTCCTGCCCCCAGCTGCAGGCCCACTGGCCTCCTTTCCTTTCCAGAAGCTCCGGGGCCTTTGCACCGGTCAGCCCCTCAGCCTGAAATGCTCCTGTGCCCCCAGCCCAAACCTGCACGACCTACTCCCTCATCTCCTCCTTCGCTTTGCTCAGATGTCATCTTGGCCGCCCCGTCTACAATTGCAACATCCCTCCAGCCGCCCTTCGAGCATGCTCTATAATTGACCTATTTGTGTCATCCCTGCTCTGTCTGCCCATCCTGTCCCCCCGCCGTGTAAGCTCCAGTGTCCAGTTCCCTGTGTGCACATGCGAGGCCCTCGTGGGGTCCTGGATGACTACGTGGTGTCTGAACAAGAGTGTGGGCCGTGAGGACTCTAGAGGGGCAGGTGGGACTGACCTTGAGAACTGCCCCAACTCTCAGAGCTTCCCCCCTGTCCTGGGGGAGGCAGCCACTGGCCTGAGGTTGGGCCCCTGCCTGGGAGCTGCAGCTGGGTCTCAGGCCCGGGGCCCACCTGCTGGCCTGGGAACTCTGTCCTGCTGAGACTGCTGGCTGGGTGGCTCTGTTCAGGGCAGGAGAGGGAGGAAGCCAGCTGAATGGACACTCTCGGTCCTGGGAGTCCA